CACACAAGACTTTGCATCCACAGATGATGGTTCCGGACGGATTTACATTGGAAAAGGTGGACGTCATCTTTCCGACTACACCGGAGGAACCCCAGGATTACACTACGGTGTTGGTCCCACTTATAGTGGGACAGTACAACTTCATGACGACAACTGTTACAACGGAGCAGAATCAGGTACAAAAGATCCCGGGCTACATGCGATCCCACATTGAACATTGGGTTTCGTCGGTATGTTGTGCAGCATCATGGGTTGCGTTGGCTACATCAGCTAATTGATACACGAGGGCCATGACAGTACAGTCGACTTGGGCACATTTTTTTGTGTACAAGCTCAGCCTGCAAACAGCAGAACTGTTTCAGAAGGTCTCTGAGAAGAGGGTTACAGTTTTTCAATCGCGGGTACATCGGACAGGTCTTACAGCTCGCAAGGAGTGTACATGGGACCTGACACCTACAGAACGGGCGTCTGGGATTTTCTACAAGCTTACAGGGCACATCACAAACCTGTACAAGAATTACAATTTGACCAAGGACTACATCATCCTTAAGCACATCATTATCCCCATCGACAAGGTGCTGAATACAAAGGGTCCCCTTGACACAATCCATGCAGGTTTCTCGATGGCCTGCAGCACAGACCATCTCGGAGCCTTTGAAGACAATGGTCATCAAGTACATTGTCCAACACGGAGTACACCTGATGGGAAACAGCACGGACAAGATTTGCGGACAGATTGGGTACAAACACACAACATCAAGGATACAAGCTGCTCAACAAAAAGAAGGTCATGCGCGGCAGCACTTGAGTAAATCAAGTACATTTTGCCACAACGGCACACCGCAACTCGTGGTACAATTGATCCGACAGCAAGGGGCATTGATGTACAGTACATCTGCTTTCTGGCTATCAGTTTACATGCAGTGGTTTCTTACATCACCCCGATCCACAAGGACATTTGTACATTTTTGCAAAGTGTGCCAACATAGCACAATTTGAGGAGGGGTGTTAAATACATTTCAGTCTTGTGCAGATCGCCTACATGCGACGACCGGTACATGTCGGTACAAGGCCTTGAGCCTGGCCCATGCCCGCAGTACAAAAGATTACAACCGTGCCGTGTCGTTCACATCACAGGTCCAACACTTCAGGTCAACAGGTTCTACATTCACAACATTGAGTTTAACAAACATACATACATACGTACGTACATTACACACATACATACATTACATTACCTTACATTGCATTGCATACATTACATGACATTACATTACACTACATAGCATTACATTAGATTACATTACAACACTCACCCATAATCTTGACGCCTTAATAAAACCGACACTCAGCTGGGCACGCGCTCGTCCCCCCCGGCCTTTGCGCGCAGCCAATGGACGTACCAGCGGTCTTCGCTCTCCTGAACGGAGCAGCGACATTGAAACCACCCCCCGGCACAGGTCCTTGACTCTGTCGCCCGCAATCATTGCAGCACACAGAAACTGACAAAGCCGGCGCCTCCCAGGGGCAAGAACAATCCATGGCGTTGTTGTTGCTGTTGTTGTTGTTGTTGCTGCTGCTGCTGGCGGCGGTGGTGGTGGTAGTAGTGGTGGTGGTGATGGTGGTGGTGTGAGGAAAGCCCTGGTGCAATTCGCAGCAGCAATTGGCTCAAGAAAAGCTGCAGTCGCGGAAACAAGCATCCAAGCAAGTACGACCTCACATAAGCTCTTTTAAAAACAGACTCTGAAGGGTTGTTGTTGTTCTTTGTTGCAAGTTGTTGTTGGTTGTTGTTTATTGTTGCCGATGCACTTCGCACTTCGCGGCCTTTGCTTGCTGGTCCTGTGTCTGCCCAGTTGTCCAGTGTCTCTCTTCGTTCCTTCTTTGCTTACTGATCCTGTGTCTGCCCAGTTGTCCAGTTCTCTTGTGTTCCTCCTTCGCTTCCTAATCCTGTGTCTGCCCAGTTGTCCAGTGTCTCTCTTCGTTCCTTCTTTGCGTACTGATCCTGTGTCTGCCCAGTTGTCCAGTTCTCTCCTCCTTCGCTTCCTAATCCTGTGTCTGCCCAGTTGTCCAGTGTCTCTCGTTCCATCCTGTGTCTGCCCAGTTGTCCAGTTGTCCAGTTCTCTCCTTCGCTTCCTAATCCTGTGTCTGCCCAGTTGTCCCTCTCTTCGTTCCTTCTTTGCGTACTGATCCTGTGTCTGCCCAGTTGTCCAGTTCTCTTGTGTTCCTCCTTCGCTTCCTAATCCTGTGTCTGCCCAGTTGTCCAGTGTCTCTCTTCGTTCCTTCTTTGCGTACTGATCCTGTGTCTGCCCAGTTGTCCAGTTCTCTTGTGTTCCTCCTTCGCTTCCTAATCCTGTGTCTGCCCAGTTGTCCAGTGTCTCTCTTCGTTCCTTCTTTGCTTACTGATCCTGTGTCTGCCCAGTTGTCCAGTTCTCTTGTGTTCCTCCTTCGCTTCCTAATCCAGTGTCTGCCCAGTTGTCCAGTGTCTCTCTTCGTTCCTTCTTTGCGTACTGTCCTGGGGCTGCCCATTGTCCAAGATTCTCTTGGTTGAATCTGTTTCCTGTGTCCTGCCCAGTTGTCCAGTGGTCTCTCTTCGTTCCTTCTTTGCTTACTGATCTTGTCTGCCCAGTTGTCCAGTTCTCTGGTTCCCCCTTCGCTTCCTAATCCTGTGTCTGCCCAGTTGTCCAGTGTCTCTCTTCGTTCCTTCTTTGCTTACTGATCCTGTGTCTGCCCAGTTGTCCAGTTCTCTTGTGTTCCTCCTTCGCTTCCTAATCCTGTGTCTGCCCAGTTGTCCAGTGTCTCTCTTCGTTCCTTCTTTGCTTACTGATCCTGTGTCTGCCCATCCAGTTCTCTTGTGTTCCTCCTTCGCTTCCTAATCCTGTGTCTGCCCAGTTGTCCAGTGTCTCTCTTCGTTCCTTCTTTGCTTACTGATCCTGTGTCTGCCCAGTTGTCCAGTTCTCTTGTGTTCCTCCTTTGCTTCCTAATCCTGTGTCTGCCCAGTTGTCCAGTGTCTCTCTTCGTTCCTTCTTTGCTTACTGATCCTGTGTCTGCCCAGTTGTCCAGTTCTTGTGTTCCTCCTTCGCTTCCTAATCCTGTGTCTGCCCAGTTGTCCAGTGTCTCTCTTCGTTCCTTCTTTGCTTACTGATCCTGTGTCTGCCCAGTTGTCCAGTTCTCTCTTCGTTCCTTCTTTGCTTACTGATCCTGTGTCTGCCCAGTTGTCCAGTCTCTCTCTTCGTTCCTTCTTTGCTTACTGATCCTGTGTCTGCGCAGTTGTCCAGTTCTCTTGTGTTCCTCCTTCGCTTCCTAATCCTGTGTCTGCCCAGTTGTCCAGTGTCTCTCTTCGTTCCTTCTTTGCTTACTGATCCAGTTTTCTTGTGTTCCTCCTTCGCTTCCTAATCCTGTGTCTGCCGAGTTGTCCAGTGTCTCTCTTCGTTCCTTCTTTGCTTACTGGTCCTGTGTCTGCCCAGTTGTCCAGTTCTCTTGTGTTCCTCCTTCGCTTCCTAATCCTGTGTCTGCCCAGTTGTCCAGTTCTCTTGTGTTCCTCCTTCGCTTCCTAATCCTGTGTCTGCCCAGTTGTCCAGTGTCTCTCTTCGTTCCTCCTTTGCTTGCTGATCCTGCGTCTGCCCAGTTGTCCAGTGTCTCTCTTCGTTCCTCCTTCGCTTCCTAATTCTGTGTCTGCCCAGTTGTCCAGTGTCTCTCTTCGTTCCTTCTTTGCTTACTGATCCTGTGTCTGCCCAGTTGTCCAGCTATCTCGCTGCCGGGGGTCAAAAGGTAAGGGTCTGCGAAAGCACTTCAAGTAAACCAGGTGAGCATTGCAAACTTTGCATGGAGGCAGAAATTGTAATGCTTACATGGCTGGCATCCTTCATGGAAGAACAGGGGCGTGAACAAGACGGCTCTATGAGAACATTCCTCTTTATCGCTGACCGCTTGATCAGGTACATGATCTCTCTGAATAATGACGGCCCAACTGTGCCGACATGCGAACAAGGCGAGCAAGTCCAAGAAATGGGGGAGAGTGTTGCGAAGCTTTATTTGCAATTGCAGGTGACAACCAAGGGTTTGACGCGATACCTTTTATCTCACTGCTGTCCCTTTCGCCACAGTATGCTGTCTGCTGAGCAGAAGCGGCGCTGCCCAGCATCCTACATGACTTTTATGGATGAGGATTGGATCTGACACTTGATGTCAGTTTCAAAAAACGACACGAAAAAAACAAATGCGCCCAACACAATTCGCGCATTCTGCTGGCAGGTGCAGAAAGCTATCAAAGCTTCAGCTGTGCGCGAGAGGTGAAAAGCAAAGTGCTACCGTGTAGGTGACTGCAGCTCGCTCCTCATTGAGACACCAAAAAAACGTGTCACCTTGGGTGTGTGTGTGTGTAGGCTTAGTGCATTGTTTGTCCCTTGCAAACGCGGTTTGGAAAAGTGGCTCGAAATCCTGTTTGGAAAAGCGCGGCCGTTTCAGAGGGAATTCCCTCCATTTCACAGGTAAAAGCGGACATTGCAATGGTAAGTCCCTCTTCCTGCCTGGCTTGGGTTTGTTCTACAGAAGCTTATCCTTGTGTGTTTGTTTGGCTGTCTTTGAAACAAATGTGTTCAGGGTTCCTGCTTCCTGGCTGTAATTGTCAAAATTTGGCTCAATGAAGCAGTGGGCCCGCATGGGCCGCCCTCAAAAAAGGTCTGGTTTCGCAGGGTTTTTCCCCTGAAGCGCATGTCCAGGAAACTTGCACGAGCCAAGTTGCACCAGAAACCGCGCAGCCAAACTTGCACATAGTCTCAAAAGGCGGCGCGGCGGCGCTCTGCGAAAATGACATTCTCTGCGGGGGTTGGCGTGGTCGATGGGCAAAAACTGGGGGCCTGTGACGATTTCTGATGTGCGCTCTGTGGGGATTGTCGCGGCCGATGTGCAAAACTACGGGCTTTTGTCGATTTATGAGGTGTCCGCGCAAAAACTGAGGCCTTTCTTGTTTTCGTTCGCGCGTGACCCGCTGCGGGGTTGGCGCGTCGTTCTAGTCGGAACGTGGGCTTGAAAGTTTGTTCAATTCAGAAGTCACGGAGACAAGGCAGGATTCGAGCCGCAGGAGGTTACCTGTGGGCATCATTAGCACTCACAGCTAAGATGGCCACACTGCAAGTGTGAACCGGGCTACAAACTAAAATAATAATCATCCACCTCCGCTCAGGCCGGGATCTGGAAAGTAGGGAACCATGGCTTCCTCGCACAAGGGCTGTCAAACAGTCCGTAGGTTGAGAAAATGTGAACATAAAGTGAACACACGCGCGTGCGTGCGTTCACTGCAGATGCGGGGAGTGCAATAGTCCAAGGCCCCGTCGATGGAGACTGTGTGCCTGTGTTGAGAACACAACCACTCAACACAACGGGTATTACTGAGACAATGCACCGCAATCTCACAGGTCGCCACCTCCTCTACAACATACCTTGTGGATCCTGCGGTCAGGCCGACGCTGGGGACGTTCACAAGCAAACAAAACGCTGCGCCAAGCACGCGTTTTCAATTCACACCCCGCCTTCACTGGTGTTGAATTCTGAAATTTTGAAACGAAAGGACAACTGGGGGTCAAAGCAAAATGCTGACGGACCACACTGACTCCAAAGATTTGTTGATCGCCGTCGCCAATAGTTGCACTGGCAGGCTTGGCCTTTGGCGTTCTACACTGCCTGATTTTGCGCCCCTGGCAGCATCCAAGGAAGACGCTTGCCTAAGCAATGGAAGCATGAAAAACAATACAAATCAAATCGGAAGAAATGCCGCTCGCATCTTTTGCATCTTTTGCACTAGTCCCAGTCCTGCAGCCGGCAGTGCGCCAGCGAGCCTATCTTTGTCTTGAAACTTGGGGAAGATGGCGACACCTCGTCTCAAGCAGCGCCTAAAAAGCCTAAGGCCCTAAATCAGCGGGCAGTCATGACTGGCCTGTGAAAGATACTGCTCCAAGAGGCAGTTTGTGGCAATGGGTCTCGGAACCTCAGTTTCTGGAACATCAGTCGTTGCAAAACTTCTCCAGGCGCTGGCAGGCTCCGGCCACTGTTCCATCTCCAGAGGCCTCGGTCGGCAGTTATCTGAAGTTTGACCTTTGCAGAACTCTTCTGTTCTGTATGTTTTTGTGGAAGCCCTCTTGCTCCCTGAAGCCTCTTGATCCTAAGCGAGCCCAAGGCATGGCGCCGAAGACCCGAGAACCCGGCGCCATGATGCATGCATCCAGGGTGGATGTGGCATAAGACAAGCGGTTCAGGCAGCTCTGCGCCACAGCCTCGGCGCCAAGTATCAATGTGAAGCGCAGCGTACAAACGAGAAGTTGTGTTTTTTCATGCGCGCACTCCCCACACACAGCACGTGAAGTCTACATTATATACGGTTCCCCCATGTGTCACACTCTACAACTCCATGTGGACTGTGACTTGCTGCAAGCGCAGTCAACATAAGACAGCTTGGCGAGCTTTCCACGTGTCACACTCTACAACTCCTTGTGATATGCGACTTGCTGCAAGAGCAGTCAAGCTAGAACAGCGTGACGGGTTTCCCACGCGTCACACTCTACAATTGCTTGTGAAATGCGACTTGCTGCAAGAGCAGTCAAGATAAGACAGCTTGGCGAGTTTTCCACGTGTCACAACGCAACTCCTTGTGAAATGCGACTTGCTGCAAGAGCAGTCAATGTAGAACAGCGTGACGGGTTTCCCACGCGTCACACTCTACAACTCCATGTGGACTGTGACTTGCTGCAAGCGCAGTCAACATAAGACAGCTTGGCGAGTTTTCCACGTGTCACACTCTACAATTGCTTGTGAAACGCGACTTGCTGCAAGAGCAGTCAAGATAAGACAGCTTGGCGAGTTTTCCACGTGTCACACTCTGCAACTCCTTGTGAAATGCGACTTGCTGCAAGAGCAGTCAAGCTAGAACAGCGTGACGGGTTTCCCACGCGTCACACTCTACAATTGCGTGTGGAATGTGAAGTGCAGTCAAGATAAGACACCATGACGGGCTTCCCACGTGTGACACCCTACAACTGCGTGTGGAATGTGACTGCCTTGCGGGTTTCAGTCAAGATAACACAGCATGACGGCTTTCCCACGTGTCACGCTCTACAACTGCGTGCGGAGTGAAACTTGCTGCAAGCGCAGTCAAGATAAGACAGCGTCACGCGTTTCCCGCGGGTCACACTCTACAACTGCGTGTGGACTGCGGGTCGCTGCAAGCGCAGTCAAGATAAGACAGCGCGACGGGTTTCCCAACAACTGCGTGGGGACTGTGACTTGCTGAAAGCGCAGTCAAGATAAGACAGGTGACAGGCTTCCCGGGTGTCACACCCTACAACTGCGTGTTGAATGTGACTTGCTGCAAGCGCAGTTAAGATAAGACAGCATGACGGGTTTCCCACGCGTCACGCTCTACAACAGTTTCCCACGTGTCACATTATACAGCTGCGTGTGGAATGTGACTTTCTGCAAGGGCAGTCAAGATAAGACAGCACGGGTTTCCGGCGTGTCACACTCGACAACTGCGTGCGAAATGTGACTTGCTGCAAGCTCGGTCAAGCTCAAACAGCGTCACGGGTTTCCCAACAACTGCGTGTGGACTGTGACTTGCTGCAAGCGCAGTGAAGATAAGACAGCGCGACGGGTTTCCCACGCGTCACACTCTACAAATGCGTGTGGAATGTGAAGCGCAGTCAAGATAAGACAGCGCACTCTACAACTGCGCGCGTGCTGTAACTTGCCGCAAGCGCATTCAAGATAAGGCAGCATGCCGGGACTCCCGCGCATCAGAGTCTACAACTGTGTGTGTGGACTGCGAGTCACTGCAAGCGCAGCCAAGGAAGGACAGCGTGACGGATTTTCCAACAACTGCGTGTGGACTGTGACTGGCTGCAACGCAGTCAAGATACGACAGCACGAGGAGGCGCACTAACCACGGCGAAAAACGTAAACGCTAACCACGCCCCAAAAAATATATCCACGACGGAAAGCTAAAATGTTTAGCACGTACGCTATTGATAGAAGGCGCTGTAGAAGGAAATAAAAACTTTAGTGCTCCTCAACACCCGCACTCTTTTACCTGCACAGCTACGCTAGAAAGCGAGATTGGTCATGAAACAAGAAAACTATTGAAACTGCTCGACGCCAGTTCAGACGGGCATCCACTCCCAACCAGGACAAAGACTCAAGGACATCCGTAGCGGCCACCGCCGGACGCCGGAGCTCTGAAAACCGGAGAAGGAACACCGAACGTTGGCCAACCCCACAACCATCCAGGCTGCCCCCTTCAGGGTCAATACCCGCATCACCAGCCGCCTTGATCACCAGCAGAGCGCATGGTTGGCGGGCAGCCTGTTTTTGGGCTTTCCTGGGTGGTGTCAGGGGTGGATGGAGGGGTCAGCCAAAAGCTACAGTGCGCTAAAAAACGTGAGTCACACTATACAACAGGGGGCTGCTTTCTAGTGCTCCTCAACTCCCGCACTCTTTTTTTACCTGCACAGCTACGCTAGAAAGCGAGATTGGTCATGAAACAAGAAAACTATTAAAACTGCTCAACAGCATCTGTCATTGCACGTTTGACGGTCCATCTGCTGGGACCGCCAGCCGGGTTCCATTTGGACTTCACCCAGCCAACCAAGAGCCGAGAGTTGGAGATCAAAAGGGCGCAACAGCGACGAAGCGGTTGCTGAAGCTGGCGAGCGCTGCTCCGACCTGACCACCACTGGCTGGTTGTCAATCAGCACCAGCAGCTTGCTGTTCATGAGCCCTGCAGCGGATCTGGCCATCTTCTTCAACAAGTCTTGCACTGCAATCGCTTCAAGCTGTGTGATGTGCCCTGGTTTGCGCCATTTGTAGGACATAATCACTTTGCCAGAATACTGCGTCGGCAGAAGTCACTTGCCACAAGGGCGCTCCAGGGGTAAGTACATCATTGCTACCTGTGGGAAACTCCACGTGAGACCAAGTAAATCATCAGCTCCTCGTCTGTCAGCTTTGTGCCAGGGTCAATCCGAGTTCGAGCCGAAAAGCCCAGGCTTCCCAGCACTCCATTGCGGAGGTGGAGGAACCCGATTTCACGGCCCGAGCCGGGGCCGAACCTTTCTGACCAGCTCTTGTGTTTGAACTGCCCAGCTCGGTCTTCCAGAGCTCGCCATACCTGCCACAGCTCAGCTGTAAGATCCCGCCCGCGGCAGTTCTCCAGCGACCACGATGACAGGCCAAGTATTGCCAATCATCTGCTGCTTCTGGTCTTCACTCAACTTCTGTTTCAAATCTTGTACCCCAGCATTCGTAGCTGCTCATCGGAAAGGAGTTGACGTACCCCTTGAAAAGTCTTCACCATGTTGGGGCTCTGGTACTGGTTAGGCATCGCCCTTCCATCTTCCAAGCACCTTTGAATCGCACTTGTCCACAAGGCCAGCCACCGCCCAAAATCACAGTTGATGCTCGTGGGAAGGTTCGCCGCCACTCGAGCACCAGTCGTCAACAGTTAAGACAAATGCGCAGTGCTTCTTTGCAAGCTTCACGCAAGTAGGATCACTCTCAATCAAGATGATCCCGCGGGGCAATAGCCCAATGAGTTCGGCTGCTTTGCGCAAGCCCCAATGCCACCGAGTCACCCTGCAAAGCAACCGACACTTAGCACGTCCGCGGGCAGTTGACGAACAAGCCCCGCCCCCGTCCGGCGACGCGTCGGTTGCGAACACAGTAGGCGACAGCCTGAGGTGTTGGTCCGTCCAATGCTAGGTGGCCAAAATCATCAGCAGTTCATCCTCTGCAGTCTGATTAACGGGATGCCATCCTGGTAAAGCAGTCGCTTCACGATACAGCTCATCAAACAGACACGCAAACGGCCGCGCGAACCTTGAAGACCTGTCGTAGCTTCAACTGTGTGTCTGAGGGTTGGCCCTCATACCTTCCCAAGTCGCCCTCGGCAATCACAGTGATGCCTTCATAATTGTCAACGTAAAACGAATGGAAACTGCGGGGAGTGCTGAGGGGAAGTAACGGCGAAGGCTCGTTCATCCGGACCACACGCTGGCTTGGAACTCCTGCAAGCCCTTGACAACTGTTTCGCCGCAATTATCAAGGTCGGAGGCCGCACGGCCGTGAAGACGTGAAAACGCCCCATGGCCACAATCGTCCCAAGTAGGGGCGTGAAAGGCCGTGAGCACACTTCGCAGCGGGCGCGTAGGGTGTCAGCTCTTTGCGTAAGTGTTGAGCCATTGGGCGGTGATGCCCGCCGTGCAATAAAATTCGGGTCGGGAGACAGCAATGCGCAAATCACCTGCGCACAACAAGCGGCGATGCCAGAGTTGACAGCCATGGGGCCTAGTGGCATGGGAGACTTCTGGGGCTCAAAGCAGTCCCTTGCCCAACTGTTTTGTTGTTTGCTTTTCGTTGCGAAATCGATCAGCCAAGCAAGAAAAGCACCGTTTTCAGGGTTGCCAAAAAACAAGACAAACCGATATAATCTTTTCAGCGCCCTTATGCCACACACCTCGACCAAACGGCTGCGCCGAACTCTAAAACCAACGAAGGCGAGGCCAAGGTAGGCGAAGCCCTGGAATTTGGATTGGGCTGGACGGCCAACCAAGGTGGGTGGCGTTTTGCCACAGCTCGAGCCCTCTGTTTCCAGGTGAGCGGTGACGAAAATTAAAAGGACAAGAGGTCACAATATGGCCGCAAGCCGCGCAGCTTCCACAAGCTTCCGCGGTGTGGGTTTTTGCTTGCGCACACGTCTAGCTTCCGCGGGCTTCCGCGGGGGCCAAACATCGGGTTTCGGTCGATCAACAACAAGAACTGCTCAGCTTGCCAAAGCAACACCGCAAATGCACGTGTGTGAATGAAAACTATGTCCAGGGTCAGCCAAACAACGAACGACCCCGCATCCTGCTCTGTTGAGCACAGCCCAGCAAAGAAAGGGACCCAAACAAAAGGTTTTTGCTTGAGCTCAACAAATCGCATTTACTTTGCCTTGACAAAAGAAGGGGGCCGTATCCAAAAGCGATTTGTTTGAGCAAAAAATTGCTCTTTTGCATACGGTGCCGGGGCCATTTGTTTTGACTCAACAAATGGCAATCGCTTTGCCTTCAAACAATTGCAATTGCCAAAAGCGTTTGCGCAGATCAAAGTGCTTCCATCCCCCGCAGCAAAAGATCAGCTTGTAAAGTTCGTCCCCCCTCCCCCCCGCTTCCCCCCAAAACAAAGGGCCATAGTGAGTCAGGCTGGCGCTTGGGCATGGCTTTGATCTCGTAGCAGTGCAAACATA